CTAAAATTTTGAGGCAATCACCCCCAAAATCAATCCCAGTCTTCCCTTTGTGGTATGGTACCTTGCAGTACAATTTCAGAGAGATCCATACACTTAAACTAGAATAAAATGCTTCGCTGGGGCGCAGCTCGATACGACCGCAGAGGTCGAACCCTGAACAGTTGGGGCAAGTATGGACACAACATTCAAGCTTGATACAGCTCTGAATTTGGATTGTTATTAAATATTTGACACAGCATAGGTTTCTGACACAGAAAGAATGTGGTCTAAGAATTTGAATTTTTTTTAATTTACCTATTATGGTCCAATGTCCAAAATCAAAATACATGGTTAGATTCAGCATATCAAAGAACCCCATATATTCAATTTTTGTTAAAATCAAACAAAGTTTAATTTTGGACCCCAACTTGGACAAACTTGAAAACTGGGCCCATAATCAAAAATCTAAACACATGTTTAGATTCAGCATATCAAAGAACCCAAAGAATTCAATTTTTGCTAAAATCAAACTAAGTTTAATTTTGGACCCTTTGGACCTTAATGTAGACCAATTTAAAAAACGGGACTTAAAATTAAAAATCTAAATACACGGTTAGATTTGGAATATCAAAGAACCCCAATAATTCAATTTTTGATGAAATCAAACAAAGTTTAATTTTGGACCCTTTTGACCTCAATATGAACCAATTTGAAAGCGGGGCCCACAAATAAAAAATCTAAATACATGGTTAGATTCAGCATATCAATGAACCTCATATATTCAATTTTTGTTGAAATCAAACAAAGTTTAATTTTGGACCCCAATTTGGACCAACTTGAAAACTGGGCCCATAATCAAAAATCTGAATACATGTTTAGTTTCAGCATATCAAAGAACCCCAAGAATTCAATTTTTGTTAAAATCAAACTAAGTTTAATTTTGGACCCTTTGGACCTTAATGTAGACCAATTTAAAAAACAGGACCCAAAATTAAAAATCTAAATACACGGTTAGATTTGGAATATCAAAGAACCCCAATAATTCAATTTTAAATGAAATCAAACAAAGTTTAATTTTGGACCCTTTTGACCTCAATATGAACCAATTTGATAACGGGGTCCACAAATAAAAAATCTAAATACATGGTTAGATTCAGCATATCAAAGAACCCCATATATTCAATTTTTGTTGAAATCAAACAAAGTTTAATTTTGGACCCCAATTTGGACCAACTTGAAAACTGGGCCAAAAATCAAAAATCTAAATACATGTTTAGATTCAGCATATCAAAGAACCTCATATATTCAATTTTTGCTAAAATCAAACAAAGTTTAATTTTGGACCCTTTGGACCTTCATATGGATTTTTTTGTAAAAAAAAAAAGATGCAACATTTGCAGATATTTTTACTGGTCTTCCTTTATAAATATGCATTTCTTTACACATAATTTAAAAGCAGTGTAAGGGAAGTAACCAAAACGTTGTATTTGGATCACCTCCCTTACACTGTTTTAAATTATCTTTATTGTTCATTAACCATTACTTTATACATAATTTAAAAGCAGTGTAAGGGAGATAATTTTAATGATGTATTTGATTTATCTCCCTTACACTGCTTTAAATTATGTTTTGAACTAAAGTATTTGTCCATTAACCAGGACAACCTTGTTTTTCCCCCTTTTTTGCCCCTAATTCCTAAACGGTTTGAGCCATAACCCCCCAAAGCAAATCCTAACCATCCCTTTGTGGTATGGAAACTTGTAGTATAATTTCAGAGAGATCCATACACTGTTCCACAGTTATTGTCTGGAAACTAGAAAATTCTTATTTTTGGGCCCTTTTTGGCCCCTAATTCCTTAACTGTTGGTACCATAACCCCCAAAATCAATCCCAACCTTCCTTTTGTGGTATTTAACCTTATGGTAAAATTTCAAAAAGATCCATTTACTTAAACTAAAGTAAGAGTGCGAAATCCAATGTGTCTTCGGACGACGACGACGCCAACGTCATACCAATATACGACCACAAAATTTTTTTGCGGTCGTATAAAAATCTAAACACATGTTTAGAATCAGCATATCAAAGAACCCCAAGAATTCAATTTTTGTTAAAATCAAACTAAGTTTAATTTTGGACCCTTTGGACCTTAATGTAGACCAATTTAAAAAACAGGACCCAAAATTAAAAATCTAAATACATGGATATTGGAATATCAAAGAACCCCAATAATTCAATTTTAGATGAAATCAAACAAAGTTTAATTTTGGACCCTTTTGACCTCAATATGAACCAATTTGATAACAGGGTCCACAAATAAAAAATCTAAATACATGGTTAGATTCAGCATATCAAAGAACCCCATATATTCAATTTTTGTTGAAATCAAACAAAGTTTAATTTTGGACCCCAATTTGGACCAACTTGAAAACTGGGCCAAAAATCAAAAATCTAAATACATGTTTAGATTCAGCATATCAAAGAACCTCATATATTCAATTTTTGCTAAAATCAAACAAAGTTTAATTTTGGACCCTTTGGACCTTAATGTAGACCAATTTGAAAACTGGACCCAAAATTAAAAATCTAAATACACTGATAGATTCGGCATAACAAATAAATAAATGTGATCAAAGATTTTACAAATCTAATGCGCCATACTGTGCAATTAAAGATTACTTCTTGAAATTTTTCAATATTTGAAATTTGAAGAAAAAAAAAATATTTGAAGAATAATTCTTTTTAATTTCTGAAATCTGAAATGAGAAAAAATTGACCCCCACAATTTCTTTTTATCCCCCCCCCCTTTTTTCCCCCAAAAAATTCTTTCCCTCAAGATATGGTCATAATTTCAATTCAAATTTCCAATGGAGTTGGCAACCATAATTACCCATTTAAATTTACCATAGTGCTAACTTAATCTATTTTATAATAGAATTAAAAATGTGTCATATCTTTCATATGGATTTTTTTGTAAAAAAAAAAGATGCAACATTTGCAGATATTTTTACTGGTCTACCTTTATAAATATGCATTTCTTTAAACATAATTTAAAAGCAGTGTAAGGGAAGTAACCAAAACGTTGTATTTGGATTACCTCCCTTACACTGTTTTAAATTATCTTTATTGTTCATTAACCATTACTTTATACATATTTTAAAAGCAGTGTAAGGGAGATAATTTCAATGATGTATTTGATTTATCTCCCTTACACTGCTTTAAATTGTTTTGTACAAAAGTATTTGTCCATTAACCAGGACAACCTTGTTTTTTCCCCTTTTTTGCCCCTAATTCCTAAACGGTTTGAGCCATAACCTCCCAAAGATAATCCTAACCATCCCTTTGTGGTATGGAAACTTGTAGTATAATTTCAGAGCGATCCATACACCATTCCACAGTTATTGTCTGGAAACTAGAAAATGCTTATTTTTGGCCCCTTTTTCCTTAACTGTTGGTACCATAACCCCCAAAATCAATCCCAACCTTCCTTTTGTGGTATTGAACCTTATGGTAAAATTTCAAAAAGATCCATTCACTTAAACTAAAGTTAGAGTGCGAAAACCAATGTGTCTTCGGACGAAGACGACGCCAACATCATACCAATATACGACCACAAAATTTTTTTGCGGTCGTATAAAAATGCTTATTTTTGGCCCCTTATTCCTAAACGTTTTGGGCAATTACCCCTAAACTCAATTCCAGCTTTCCCTTTGTGATATGGAACCTTGTAGTACAATTTCATAAAGATCCATACACTTACAAGTTATTGTCATGAAACTAGAAAAATGCTTGTTTTTGCCCCTAATTCCTAAAATTTTGAGGCAATAACTCCCAAAATCAATCCCAGCATTCCCTTTGTGATATGGAACCTTGTGGTACAATGTCAGAGAGATCCATACACTTACACACAAGTTATGTCTAGAAGTTACAAAAATGCTTATTTTTGGCCCCGAATTCCTTAACTGTTGGTACCATAACCCCCAAAATCAATCCCAACCTTCCTTTAGTGGTATTGAACCTTATGGTAAAATTTCATAGAGATCCATTAACTTTTACTAAAGCTAGAGTGCGAAAACCAATGTGTCTTCAGACGACAACGCCGTCATACCAATATATAATAAGACTTGACTCCAGATCTGAATTCAATAAATTATTTTCAGTGTTGGACCCCAAATATTTTTTGTTGAAACCATGATTTCATTCTAGTCTTTGTTTATGACCATTGTTGGAATTTTTACAAGTGAAGCAGGAACTCTAGATCCTTCCTCTTTAGTAGTAATGATTCAACCACGCATTTTGTTCGAGTAATTGAGTAAATACCCTACCGAGCAGCTTATTTTGCCTTGGGTTTTTGACAGGACCTGTTATGCCTAATCTTTATTTTTCTGTGGAATGTTTGTTTGCCTTGTGGTTTTCGTTCTCCCTTGAATGTGGTTACATTTTATTATGGCTGGCCATTCCTTTAGGATGACAATGTGACTGCCCTATCTTTTGGTTTGGACCTTGTCAATCTTGTCTGCAGAAAGTTCAGTTGCAGACATTTTATCAAGTTTTCTGTATATTGTTACTATTGAATATCAGCTGGAAGTCAATATATGAAGATTTTGTTAAATGAGCACAGTGATCAAATTTAAAATGTCTTCATATTGTGACAAGCTGGTATGATGAAATCCGTGGTTTTTTTTTAGGTTTCTTATATAAACAGCAAACTTGAAGAGAAAATGTTCTAGTCAAACATATCCAACATCACAAAGCAGGGATACACAAATTTAGAAAGAGCTTAATAATACATGATATATAAGCAAAGACCAACAAAAAGAACTGTATCAATAATTATGATCTTATTGTGGACTTAACAATGGTATCAAAAAAATTTCCTCAATGGTTAACTCACTCAATTATAAACCTAAACTTTTTGTATCTCAGTCTACACAAGTTGTGTTCTATTTACACATACATCATCATGTGTAATGTAGATTTTGTAATTGTAACTTGATAGACATTTTAAAAATACAAGACACAAATTCTTCCATTATTTTTTTTTATTTGATGCAGTCTCTACAGTTTATTTCGCTGCCATCCTGCGATCTCTCTCTTCAGCAATACTCAATTTGACACCTTTACCACGTGGAAGTGATACATATGGTTTGTTTCCTTTTCCGATGATAAAAACGTAGCTTAATCTGAAAATATATAACACGTATGAATAAACTGGAAAACATCAATAACAAATTCCAATACTTTTTTACACAGCATACAGTAGTTGTTAACTTCTATATATGTCATTTGATCTCTGGTGGAGTGTTGTCTCGTAAGCAATCTTACCAAATCTTATTTTGTTTACATTGTAAATACAGGTTGGTTCTGATTTTGCATCAATCACTTTAAAAGAACATATATTGCAGCAACAAAAAATAATAAGAATTGTTCCCCATATGGTCTTCTTCCTCAGTAACTGCCACATAGTAGCTATGAGAAAGTGATGGAATATATGGGGTCCAGACCTGTACAGAGCAGTCCAGGTCTGGGTTTATATCAAATGTTGTGGAACGGGAATATGCATCAAGTCCTTGTGAGACATTCAGCTCCCATACGCCACTAAGACAGAGCCTTGCATGGTTTGACAGAAATCAAAATGCCAGGATATCAACATTGGGAAATACAAATAATTCACCAAGTATAATAATAGTAACATTGTATTTGTTAATTTCTAGAATTTTACGATCTCGTGCATAAATTATATTTCACATAAAAATTATTAACACAGACCTGATTTTGATTGTTTAAAAAAAAAAAAACGGAATTCAAAGCCGAAAATCGGAAGGAGCCGAGCCAAAAGCAGAATTCCGCTATAAAGCGGAAGAAAATCAGGTCTGTAATAACATTAGAACTCTAGTTGCAGACACACTGATATTGATGTGTTCCATTACCATTACCACTTTAAATTCTTAGTTTTTGTATACGTGAAAATATTCAATTGAAATAGTTTTTATGATATCACACTCTTTTTGTTTACTGTGGATTCATTATAATTCATTGGGATACCAATTTTTGTGGATACAGGTAAACCACGAAATTAAATGTTCAACGAATTACAAATTTTTTATAGGCTTGTATACAGACCTCAGCAAAACCACGAAATTAAATATCCACGAAAATACAAATACAAGTTTTGCGTTATCCACTATAATTGGTACCCACGAAAATAAATGAATTCACAGTACCCTCAAACTTGACAAACATGATGTGTATTCTTTGCAGTGATACAAGATACAAAAGAAACAAGGCCTAAATTAATATAGTGTGTTTCCCCAATCCCGATCCTGCCAAGCCAGGTGTGGGTAGGTAGGTAGGGAAATAATATTATTTTTCCAAAAAGCTTGAACATTATCGGACGATCTGGCAAGCCTGAAAATCCAAAATGATTAAAATAATATTTGACTTAGTTTTGACAAAAAATTTTACGAGTAGCACCATTTTTGCAAGGTCGGTCGGGATTGGGGAAACAAACAATATTTTATTTTAGGCCCAATTAAATCCTTTAAACTTTTGTCGATATTGATTTTATTGGTTTACTTTATATAATTTCTTTTTATTTAAATACCATTAATTTACACATTTAACATATGAATATTTAAATAACGTTACTTCATTTGTATTGTCAAAACAGTTATCTTACCTGGTAGCAAAACTATGTCCTAAAGAATCTTTAATGTGAACTATGTCGAATGATCCTGGATGTCTTTCTCTGTGTTGAATAACTCCAACTCTTCCCAAATTATGGCCTCCAGTTATCATACACAGATTTCCTGTAAAGAAAAATTCATTGCTGAATGTTTCAAGAGTAATTAGCCTGCTGGTAATTCAAGAAGCTATAAAATAAACTACTGTACAGTACACTGTTTCAATATTTTGAAAATAGCTATTACTTTTATTTTGCAAGTAAATAAAAAGTGACAATGGCTGTATAACAAGAGTGCACACGCTGAAATGTCTCGCCTTCTTTACTAATCACTGATATTATGTTGATAGTCCTTAATATAAAGCTTTATTACAACTGTCACATAAACTTAACATTAACCAAGAAAACTAAACATTGACCAATGAACCATGAAAATGAGGCCAAGGTCAGATGAACCATGCCAGGCAGGCATGTACAGCTAACAATTCTTCCATACAACAAATATAGTTGACCTATTGCTTATAGTTTAAGAAAAACAGACCAAAACACAAAAACTTAACACTGAGCAATGAACTGTGAAAATGAGGTCAAGGTCATATAAAACCTGCGCGTCTGACATATAGATCATAAAATATTTCCATACACCAAATATAGTTGATCTATTGCATATAGTATTAGAAAAAAAGACCAAAACTCAAAATCTTAACTTTGACCACTGAACCATGAAAATGAGGTCAAGGTCAAATGACACCTGCCAGCTAGACATGTACACCTTACAGTCCTTCCATATACCGAATATACTTGACCTATTGCTTATAGTATCTGAGATATGGACTTGACCACCAAAACTAAACCTTGTTCACTGATCCATGAAAAGAGGTCGAGGTCAAGTGAAAACTGTCTTGACGGGCATGAGGACCTTGCAAGGTACGCACATACCAAATACAGTTATCCTACAACTTATAATAAGAGAATATTTAACATTACGAAAAATCTGAACTTTTTTTCAAGTAGTCACTGAACCATGAAAATGAGGTCAAGGACATTGGACATGTGACCGACGGAAACTTCGTAACATGAGGCATCCATATACAAAGTATGAAGCATCCAGGTTTTCCACCTTATAAAATATAAAGCTTTTAAGAAGTTAACTAACGCCACCGCCGCCGGATCACTATCCCTATGTCGAGCTTTCAGCGACAAAAGTCGCAGGCTCGACAAAAATGAAATAAACCGTAGCAGATATTTACTAAAAAGAGTTAGATACAATACCCTAAAAGACCAAGAATACTTTCTGAATAGACAATATTCATACAATGCAAGTTTTAATTTGATAGATGAAATTATTGTTCCCCATATGGTCTTCTTCCTCAGTAACTGCCACATAGTAGCTATGAGAAAGTGATGGAATATATGGGATTCAGGCAAAGGCCTGAGTTTATATCCAATGTTGTGGAACGGGAATATGCATCAAGTCCTTGTGAGACATTTAGCTCCCATATGCCACAAAGACAGAGCCAAGCATATGATGACACAAGCCAGAAACGCAAGGATGTCAACATTGGGGTAATGCAAGGATGTCAACATTGGGGTAATTCTTTAAAAGCACTGAAGGTTCAAACTTGCAAGACTCCCTATTTTTTTTTATACTTTTAACAAGTCTGATGATTCATGGCATCATTGCACTAAATAAATAAGGTTACCACATATCATATTGTCTGCTTATTTGGTGTCTCTATTAACTGCAGTACAACTTAGTTTAAGAAAATTTACCAGCTTTTCCAATCATTCTCAATCATACAATATAAAATAAACCACACAACTCACACCAAAATTGAGGCAATAACAAAATCATTTCTGTTTGCTTAACCAATATAAAGCACAGTACTATGACTAGCAGGGAAAATATTTGCAAATGAGGACAGAGATACAAGAAATATTAAATGTATTCTTTTCTGGAAATCTTATTTTTCATCCCACAAAATGCAAATAAACGTCTCATCTGTCAGGTAATGTGATTTTAAGCATCTCTGAGGTGGCGCAAAGATTCAATAATTATGCAATAAATTGTTTTGAACATTATGTACCAATATGGGCAAATATTTGAAAATGTACATTTAGTTGTTTGTTCCCCATATGGTCTTCTTCCTCAGTAACTGCCACATAGTAGCTATGAGAAAGTGATGGAATATATGGGGTTCAGGCCAAGACCTGAGTTAATATTCAATGTTGTGGAACGGGAATATGCATCAAGTCTTTGTGAGACATTCAGCTCCCATACGCCACAAAGACAGAGCCTAGCATATTCTGACACAAGCCAGAAATGCCAGGATGTCAACATTGGGGTAAATCTAAAGAAATAAAGGTACAAACTTAATGTTTACAAATCTGCTTGCCTGATTTGTTTATCTAATGTCTGCTGCATTTCATCTTATATCTATCATAGTTTAACATCCCCTCCTAAGGATTTCTGTTAATATTAAAGAATAATCCACACAATCCAACCCAAACTTGAAGCACAAAAGCCAATCAAAATAAAACTTATCTTTCCTCTAACCCTACCTACCATAATTTTTCATCAGAGTCTATCCAAATGTTTTTTGGGGGTCATTTTTGAACCTCTTTACACCAGTCAAAAACATTTAATGAAGTTTATTTGCTCACCTACTTTATCAAATTTTGTTCAAATAAATTTATTTCTGTTTGCTCTTCTAAAAGCCCTATAAAAATGTAAGGGTAAGCAAACAACCAAATGTTCTGTTGTGAAACTTCTTTAATGTATTTCATGAACACTTTCCAACATTGTAGACTAGACTGTTATTCATTAAACTCTTATTCAATTTGCTGAACTTGTATTGGTGAACATTTTATCATTTTAAATATTTTAGGCAAGAAATGTTACTAATTACAGGGTAGGAAACTCACTGGAAATGTCTACCACAAACCACAGGGCTAGCTGCATAAAAAAATTACCTGTCCTGATCAAAATTTACCAGCCCTGAAAATTAGACTGATCATACAATTTATTTTTTTCTGTTGAGTCAACAGCAGTTCGGTTTTTTGGCGACGAAAGGCCTAAGTCCTGTCGTAAAGACATGAGTTTACCAAAACAAATTTGTACTTTCAATTTCCTCTAATATTTATTTTTTATTTAATAAACGCAATCGCGATTGGATGATTCGATACCAACTAGCCAATGAGTGCCGGTCTTACAAACAACAGGTATCACCATGTTCCCTGCAGAAATCGCATGGAAACATGTGGTAGTAAAAGGTTAATTGGCAGTCACGATTCTTACGTGCTGTTATGAATGGGGTAATACTGAGAACTCATTCCAAAAATAGAAAAAGGTAATCCCAACCACCTGCAAAAAATAGACCTGCCACCAGACTGTTGAAATTTTAAATTTTGACCGCCTAATCGTAAAATAGGCCATCTCGGGCAGGCTATAATTTCCAACTCTGATAATTAGTCAGGTTCTACGACTTTCAACATCTCAAAAATGATGCAGAGATACTATAATTTTGCAATACGTTGTTTTGAACATGATGTACCATTAGGTGCAAATATTTTGATAATATATATTTAGTTGTTTGTTCCCCATATGGTCTTCTTCCTCAGTAACTGCCACATAGTAGCTATGAGAAAGTGATGGAATATATGGGGTTCAGGCCAAGACCGGAGTTAATATTCAATGTTGTGGAACGGGAATATGCATCAAGTCCTTGTGAGACATTCAGCTCCCATACGCCACAAAGACAGAACCTAGCATATTCTGACATAAGCCAGAAACACCAGGATGTCAACATTGTGAAAAATCTAAAGAACTGAAAGTAAAAACATGTAAGTTCCTTAATTTTATACACTTTAAGCAAGTCTGATGCTGCATGGTTTTACTGCAACTATTAAATAAGGTTTACATATATGCTTGCCTGTATTGTTTAAGACTGTAGTCCAACTTAATTTTAGAAAATTAAACATCCTCTCCAAACATTCTAAATGAATCTACATGTACAAGTAAGAACCTTACAACTGAATCCAACCTTGAATCAATAAAGACTTGAACAGAAATTCTTGCATTTCTGCTTACCATATCTACCCTAATACAAGCACTATCACAGTTGGGAAGGTTCCACCCGTTTATACAAGTCAATAACTTTGTAACATTATTAGCCTACCTACCTACCCTTATTTTTTTCATGATGCAAGAGGAAACATTGTTATTAAATTTTTGATTGACTTAGATCAAAATCATTTTGGTTTCCTCTACCAAAAGTCATGTAGAAATGAAAGGGTAGCAAACATGATACGAATGTAAAGAATTAAGGAATCATGACCAGAATGTTTTCTTTTTTTGCACGCGTGACATAATTCAAAATTTAAATTTTCAGATGGAGGACCAATTCATATACATGTCGACTAATAGAGGTAACAATTCCAAAGGACGACAGTAACAATCAATATTTGATGTAATGATTTCAATCAATTTTTTATTCCGCCTCACAAGGTGTGAAGGAACAACACTCACTCATCAAGTTGTGTGACTAATCATCTCTGAAAGGATGCTTAAATACAATGATTATGTGGAAGACTGTTTTGATGTATGATATGTGCAAATATTTTGACAATGTATATTTAGTTGTTTGTTCCCCATATGGTCTTCTTCCTCAGTAATTGCCACATAGTAGCTATGAGAAAGTGATGGAATATATGGGGTCCAGTCCTGTACAGAGCAGTCCAGGCCTGGGTTGATATCCAATGCTGTGGAACGGGAATATGCATCAAGTCCTCGTGAGACATTCAGCTCCCATACGCCACAAAGACAGAGCCAAGCATATGCTGACAAAAGCCAGATATACCTGGTTGTCAACATTGGGAATTTTCTTTCCTCAATTTATCAGCATTTTTTTTCTTCTGAAAAGTTTTATAAGAGTGTGATCATATACCTGAATCAAACTTGATGAAATCTTTAATCTTTCCAGTTGCAATGTCTACCATTATTGTGTCGTTGACTTTGACCAATGGATCTGGATAACGAATTGTACGTCCATCATGTGTGACAACATAGCAAACTCCCTTCAAAGCTACTCCAACTTTCTTTACACGGCACAGTTTGTACTGAAACATCATACAAGATTTGTTATAAAATGATTAATGTGGCAAATATTTCATGCATTTTAAAAATACTCAAAACCTAAAATATTGCATCAATGGATGTCCAGTGAAAAGCTAAAAATATGTTTAGAAGTTGAATGCTCTCTTTCAGTTTTATTCGGGAATAAAGATTTAACTGTCAGATTAACCTTTTTTGTGCATCATTTTCGAAATGTGCGCATTATCAGTGCTTGTCCATCCCATAAAATTACAATACAGGCCAAATCCCATACCTTGTAAAAATAATTATTATTTTGATAAGTATTTTACCATAATTGCAATCAATTTCTTACTTGTAAATCTGATTTCTAAATGATTTTTTTTTTTATATCGAGTCTATCTTCATTCAATTAATTGTTATAAAATGTTCTAGGTACTGGCCAAGAAATTACCTTTGCTTCTTCAGACTTGATGCGGTGGACAGCAAATCTACCTTTTACATCATACAGAAGACGGAAGTTTTCCTGTGTTTTATCAATGGTAACAACATCTGTAAAAAAAAATAATTCAATAATAAAATTACAATCTCAATTTAGAGGTCACAACTGCCTCCTGTTTTAGTTTCATTTATTACTGGTTTGTTCAAGCCTTTGGTAATGCTTATGCAGACACAAGTCAGTAAGCGACCGTAGACTGGTATTGATTTTGGCCTCATTTTGACCGAACAAGACAAAATCATTCTTTTCTAGCTTCGATAGGGCCTATTGTTCGTGAACAGCCAGTCCTGTTGCCAATGTTATTACAAACCCAGTGACAAGTCGAATTTGGTAGGTCACGTTCCGGGAAAGAGGACGGGATTGTAGTTATGACAATTAAAAAATATTTGTTGTCATCTGTGAAACAAATATTCCGCAAGTCAACCAACTTGCGATGGATGGCGTTCGTAAAATTTACGAAGGGATGGTTTCAACTTCACAACTTGGAACTCTTGGTTAAATAGCTTCCTTGTGAGCAGCAACCATCTACAAATAAAATCATGATAGGAAATACATGCCCTGGAATATCGTATCAACTAGGAGATTGAGACATTTATGCAAGACATAAAAATTTAAACAGCTAGGAAAAGGAAAGTGACCTACAATACAAGACTGCCATTCTTTATCATACTCATATGTAAGGAATCAATAAAACAAGTGGTCCTATTGGTGGTTTTGGTTTAATCAAAGATATATAACAAAAGAATTCAAAATTGGAATGATGACATCTAACCACAGGATCTTGTTTTGATTCAATTTCTGTTTGTTCCAGCCTTTGGTATTGCTTATGCAGACACAAGTCAGTAAGCGACCGTAGACTGGTATTGATTTTGGCCTCATTTTGACTGAACAAGACAAAAAGATCTATTTCAGCTTCGATAGGGCCTAGCGTTATCAATTGTTTAAGAAAGAAAATTCAATTATAACAGCCAATTATAATCAATTCAAAATGTTCCAAGATAAAATTGAGAACGGAAATGGGGAATATGTCAAAAAGACAACCCACTGACCAAAGGCAGATAACAGCCGATAGGCCACTAGTAGGTCTTCAACATAGCGAGACACTATTTTGTTCTTATCAATAATTTTAATAAAACTTTCCTGTCTGCCCTTAATATTTTTCACATGATAGGCGAAACCAACATTCATTTTTCAATGGCTTAGATGGCTTGTAGGGTTTCGCAACGCATACAAGAAAACTTAAAACTGTTGCAACTTTGCAAATAAACTAATATGCCACAAATATAAATTTTGGATTGCCTAACAGTGAAAAGTCATTATAAATTGAAAAATGTTTATCTGATGGTGAAATGGCAATTTTCTAAAAAAATATTTGTTTTCCCTATCCTTGACTTTCCCAATTTTTAATTGGACAGATTTCAGAAACATGCAAGCTTGTATACATCTAACTTGCTTAGAAAAAAAATGTTTATTTGTCAAAGATAGGAACAAACAGTACAAATAATTGTGTGTTAAAGTTAATGAAAGTAAATGAAAGTAAAAGAACATAACATGTGAAAGTACTTTAAAACATGTAAAAAGGTTTCATAAATTTCCTGTTTGTTCAAGCCTTTGGTATTGCTTATGCAGACACAAGTCAGTAAGCGACCGTAGACTGGTATTGATTTTGGCCTCATTTTGACTGAACAAGACAAACAGATCTATTTCAGCTTCGATAGGGCCTATATAGCTAGTGTTTGTTAACAGCTGTTCACCAATGCAAATTTGTTAATTTCATGAAGTAAATATATGAAGGTAAATCCAGAAAAGTGCTTTATATGCAAGAAATTTATCCATGTTATTTCCATTTTGTTGCTGTTGTCAGATTTAAATCAATTTTCATTCCTCTTCAATATGGTGCTGGCCTCAAATAGAACTGAATCAGGAAATGTTGCCACTTTCAAGAATATGTGCACCATGCCAGACAATTAATACTATCATTTTATCACTGTTAATAAACACCAGATTTAAAGTATTGAATTGAGATATAACCTAAATTGAGATATAACCTTAATTAAATGTGAATATGTGCCCTAATTTGTTTGACTAAATGACTTTGGTCAAATTTAACAATTTACCCATGAATCCTGCTGGAAATGTCATATCTGTTCTGACTTTGCCGTCAACTTTGATCAATCTCTGGTGTACGATCTTCTTTACTTCATCGTATGTCAAAGCATACTTTAGTCTGTTTCTAAGAAATACAATCAAGGGCAGTGACTCCCTTAGTTTGTGAGGACCTGTGCTCGGTCGTGGAGCCTATATAATGATAAAAAGAACACACAAATATTGAGACAATTTTTCTTTTTTATTTCAGTAGCAGTTTTTACCCCTTTAAAAAGACTTTCACTTGTCATAGGCATTTGGACATCAGGTAATCAGTCTTTTTTTTTTTAAGCTTATAGAACAACTTTCACTTTTCCACAGTTTATCAAGGTTAGATTGGATTCTGTTGCTAACATTCCATTTTTTTTTAATTTAACTTTTGTAAACAAGTAAACAAAGAGCAACTGAAACACGTTAAGCACATTGAATTTGGAATCCACGCTGAACTCTTATCCATCAATGATCTAATTGTAAAAGCTGAACATTGTTTACTTTAACTTATTAATGGTACTTTCTGATATCTTTCCCTAAAGAATCATAATTAAAATTGCCATCAGCTGAAGCTGCTCCAGAAGATCTGAAAAGTGTCTGGTTAATAAAGGCCATTGAAAAATGAATGTTGGTTTCCCCTAACATGTGAAAATTATCAAGGCCCGACAGGCAGGAAAAACTTTTTATTTTATTTTATTTTTTTGTGAAAAATCAGTTTCGTTTTTCAGAGAATGTTGTTGTTAACCTGTAATTAATGTTTGTTTCACATTCTAAAAATTGCAGGGTTCGACACTAACGCTAGTCCACTAGCCTGAGGCTAGTAAAAATTAGGGAGGGCTAGTCAAGTTTTCATCACAGTAGTCCGACGGGCTAGTCAAAATTTTGTTTTTGTTTAAAACTAGGAATTTCACAAAATTTTAATTGTCAACAAATCCCAGATTTTTTGCTGACCTTTGCTGTCTTTATTGTACAGTTTATTCACGTATATTTTGATTGTCAGACATTTTTTAACATGAAAGGTACCTTTTGAGGAGGGGAAAGAAACGGAAACGATGATGGTACTTAATACATTGAAAACCATGTGTGTTACAAACGCCGTGAGGATTCTAATCAGAAACCTGGATCTCAAAAGTGCTTTCATAATATCAAAATAATAACATGAATACGAAATTTACATATATTACTACCGATACCATCACTGTTTGGAAAAAATGTACAACTTATTGGGAGGAATTTTAAGCCATTTTTTTTAGTAATTGGGAATTTTCTCTTGGGGGAAAAAGCTGTATTTCGAATATACAAATGTAATTTGAGGCAAACAATATCACTGAATTATTGTCATAAAAACAAAATTATAGGTCTCTGCAAGGATTTGTATACTATACAATTCCTTTGTCTCTGGTAAAAATATACAGATTTTTAGGAATAAAATCTTGTCCTGTAAAAAAAAAATAAACTGAAATAACAAGGGAAAAGAAGGAGTCCATGAAGAATTATGACAAAAAAAAAGCAAGGGCAAACCTTTCCTCTTTTGTGGGTGTATTTTTAAATCCCTAACTTACCCATCTTCATTAAAGACACTAGTAATAATGATAAGTAAAATGAGGATGATGATGAAGTAATGATCTAAAGGGGTCTTCAAAATAAGTCGAACACATTCTTAATATATATGATTATGATTAAAATATGTGATTTTTTTTTTTTTTGGTATTTTTTATTAGCAAACCAGTGAAATTTCATGAAACAAAACATGTTCAAAACCCTCTGGAAATGCTCCAGAACACAGGATTTAGCTTCATTTGTATCAAAATTTTCTGGGGGGGCATGCCCCCAGACCCTCCTAGATAGGGTCGTGCCGAAAGCACTTGGAGGGCTAGTAGAATAACAATTTCACTAGCCCTGCAGGCTAGTACATACATTTAGTTAGTGTCAAACCCTGAATTGTGGTATAATTGATGTGAAACTGAAGGAATGAGAATTGAGCAATGTTGAAACACTTTTAAGAGATTATCAGACACTTCTAAAAAGCACCATTGATATAAATTGTCAATAGACTAGTCTTTTTTATTTCATCTGCAAAAAAAAAAGGAAAATAAGAATTGACACGGAGGTTAAAAACGAACAAGCCCGGCAGGGTTAGGGGAAACCAACAATCATTTTTACATGGCCTAAAAAGGCTTGTTAATTTTATGTATTCAGGTTTAGATTATTCATGTTCAAGTCTAGAATTGTTATCAAGTAGGTTACCATAGTAGATATTATTGCTAACATGATAAAGGAGGGAGACTACATGTACAATGTACTGTTACAATTTTACTTACGAACACTCCACTCATTTTGTCTAGCATCCATGATTTTGGTGCAGTTAGACGTTTAAGACACTTTCTACGCCCTCGATAACCCTGAAAAAGAAAATACAATACTTCACAAGGTTATAATTGCAATGCCACTAAAGATTAACATTTCTTAAAACTTATACATGTAATTGGATAATTTTATATTCAACCAGAGTTGTAAAGATCTAACCTAAACTGACTGAACAGTGGTCTTATTTGAGGTCATATTTCCGGATTAACATAATGGATGTTAGGACTGCAGTAGACAAGAACTGTCAAGTACCTGGTAAGGCTGATTGGTTATTAACTGCTATAACGTACTAAATTCTCGTGTCATGGCTATTCTTACACATCATAATTCACGAATAAGAGTTTCAAATGTTTGAATGAATTCTTGAACTAGACGATTTTATTTTTCTTAACTTTTCTCAATAGTTCGACAATGTAATCGATACGATTTGACGAATGTCAAGTCCCATCAATATATTTATAATTTTTAGGTATGGATCATTTACCCGAAATTTTCCTGTAATGTAAGACTCATATTGAAATAATTGAGTTACACGTTTGATCTAGCATATGTTAACTTAATGTTTATGTTGTTATTTTGTAAATGTGTAGTCGGATCAGTTAGGATACAATGGATTTATATCACGCTTTCGATAATCTTGAACCCACCATGTTGGTTACCTTACAAAAAAGGAAGTTCCCAGAATGCAATGGAAAATGAAATGGACGTCCCAATAATCTGTTGTTATATCCTTTTCAATTGGTCAAAGGCTGAATCTAGAGCCAATGAGTACGGTCATAACATTTCCGTGCATCTACTTCATTTACATGTCAAAATGGACCTAACTTCTTCAGACTTAGAACAAGATTTCGTTTATTCAACAGGCGTTTGCTTCGATTCTGACGATTCAGATGAATTTACAAACAATAACGCTCTCGGTGATGACAACACTCCAAACGAAAATTACACAACGTCACCAAGTAACGTTGAATTAAACGACAGAGACGAAAATGGGGAAGAAAGTTCACATGTTTCAAAATTAAATGAAAACAATATCCAATACAACTTCAATGATAGTGAAATAGAAAATGACAGGGAAAATAATGGGTAAATTTTCATAAAATTAAAAGAATCAGTACCTCACACAACAATATGAATTTTTTTAATTTTCCACTGGGACTTTGCCTGTGGTGTTGCAAGCCTATATGGGAGTGTAGCTATAATCCGACATCCTGAAATTCTAACAGGCCAATAGTCCGACGGTCTGATAATCCGACAGTCCGATGGTCGGACACGAAGCTGTGCTGCTGCAAAGGATATGAATCTCATCTTCATATATGCTTATTGGTATACTGTTGAAACGTGAGCTGTGTTTAAAATCTCAAAAGTGGAATGCGTAGTAATGGGATCGAAATTATAAATCCTATACTGTTTGAACAATCATTTAAGATTGTCGAAGTTGATAACAAGAATGTATGTTTTCATACATGCGCATGTATGCAACGTATTATCCAACTAAAATTCTCCAAAAATTGAGTTCCGGGCCTGAAGATTTAAAAGTTCATTGTGAAGACTGAATTATGTGGTTGAATGTGAAATGTCGCATGTATTAGATGTATGCTTCTCATATCTGAGGATAAGAGTCGAATACATCGAATTGATTTACATAGAAGTAATTAATTGATTTTATCTTTCTATTGTTTTTAAAAGAGCAAATAATTTTGATAAAATGGTAATAGTGTCATTATTTCAAATTTCCAGATGCAGTAACACTTTCAGAAGATGTTTCATAGAGATGAATTTAGAACGCAATCTTAATAAATTGCGTCTATTTTTATGTCATCAAAATGATACCTTATCACTACTTTTGTATGGCTATATAAATCGCTCTACTATCTTGTCTCTTCTGGTTTAATTGCCAAAACCTGAACTTTTGAATGATAAATGATAACACTTCTATGTAAAGTATAATATGGACCTAAGCGAATCATCAAGACATGACACCAATTATGTGAAAAAGAACGGAACAAAGATAGGCAATGACGTGAAGACAGTACTTATTCACACACAGCAGAAAAGTCCCAACTTTCACCTGGAAATCAATCTGCTAATAACTCTTTGTCTGTTCTCGCCGAGAAGCCCCTTGGTTCTCTACGTGTACCTCAGCTTCTTCCACCATAATAACAGACTTCCCGATGTTTTAGCGCTCCCTTTCTGTTGAGGCGGGGATTGCCCATATTGTTGTTAATACATTAGTAACACATCTCCATTAACTACCGATAGGGAGTGTAATCCGTGGCGGATTCCACTGTTCACACTTGTGTGAAAAAATATACCAATTTACGAACGTTACAGGTCTATATAGGCATATTTTTCAGAGAAAAGTGACCGCTCGTCAGACTATGGGCTGTCGGATAAGAGGACTGTCGGACTATCGGACTAAAGGACTGTCAGATTATGGGACTGTCGTATTATAGGTCTGACCCCCACCTATATATATAAATATAACGCTACCTTAAATAAGCTGCCTATAACTAACATGCACAAACTCTCCCAACCATTATTTATAAATGGATATAAAGTGATGAAACACTGCCTACATGTTTTGTATTTACAACATTGTCCATGCTATATATGCATGTAGTCCACAAATTGATGGGTGCTGCATGTCAAACAATGCCTTTCTCAGTTTGTGTCTATCGGCCCTCAAACATGAACATTTTTGTTCCCCTTCATTGCACAAATGTTTATAACATATTTTGACCAGTCATGTCAAATGGCTACATTTCTAATACATTGTACATTTGAAATGCTTTTGTGTAGTCTATATATTGATATAAGAAAATGTGGTATGGGGCCTAAAATAAAATATTGTTTGTTTCCCCAATCCCGACCGACCCTGCAAAAATGGTCCTACTCATAAAATTTTATTGTCAAAGCTTAGTCAAATATTATTTTATTCATTTCCGATTTTCAGGCTTGCCGGATCATCCGATAATGTTCAAGCTTTTTGGAAAAATAAAATTATTTCCCTACCTACCTACCCACACCTGCTTGGCAGGGTCGGGATTGGGGAAACAAACAATATAATAATTTAGGCCTGGGTGCCAATATCTATCAGTGGTGTATGGTTTAACAAAAGGTGGTGAATGAATCTAGCAAAAAGTTAATGATACAGTGTATTATATTTTTTTATATGTAGCTATTTCCCCTATTAAGCAAGGATTTTTTAATTTGTTGATTTACAGATTTTTTATGTAAAAAAGTTTGGTTGATTGGAACAAAAAATCTTACAAGACATACATTTTTTGAATATGCTTAAAATTAATATATGCTTCAGCTTATATATACCTACAATATTTTCAGGATGCTTTAAAATTGTCATAATTGATTTTAAAAGTTCCAAATATCTTTGCTCTGAGCTGTTTTAAACATGCAATGCATGCCATCAACACATAATTTTTGAAAAAAGTAATACCACTGAAAAACAGGAAAATAAATTATCATCTCACCGAAGAAAAGAAAACAACAGCTCCACTTTGCATTTTTTATACAACCGCAAAAATTAAAAAATTTTTCGTCGTATATTGGTATGACGTTGGCGTCGTCGTCGGCGTCGTCCGAAGACACATTGGTTTTCGCACTCTAACTTTAGTTTAAGTGAAAGGATCTCCATGAAATTTTACCATAAGGTTCAATACCACGAAAGGAAGGTTGGGATTGATTTTGGGGGTTATGGTACCAACAGTTAAGGAATTAGGGGCCAAAATAAGCATTTTTGTAACTTCCAGACAATAACTTGTGTGTAAGTGTATGAATCTCTCTGACATTGTACCACAAGGTTCCATAAATCAGAAAAGGAAGGCTGTAATTGATTTTGGGGGTCATTGCCTCAAAATTTTAGGAATTAGGGGCCAAAAAAGGGGCAAAAAAACAAGCATTTTTCTAGTTTCATGACAATAACTTGTGTGTAAGTGTTTGGATATTTCTGAAATTGTACTACAAGGTTCCATATCACAAAGGGAAAGCTGGAATTGAGTTTGGGGGTAATTGCCGGAAACGTTTAGGAATTGGAGGCCAAAAAGGGGCCAAAAATAAGCATTTTTTCTAGTTTCCAGACAATAACTTGTGTTCAAGTGTATGGATCTCTCTGAAATTGTACTGCAAGGTACCATACCACAAAGGGAAGGCTGGGATTGAGTTTGGGGGTGATGAATCATAAGGGGTTAAACAAATTTTGGGGGGGGGATTTTTTTTTTTTCTTTTTTTCCTTTTTTTTTTTCTTTTAAAATTTTCCATTTTAAGTTGGTTATTTCTGATTTATATTTAAAAGCAAATAATAATGATATGGTAGGAGATACACACCAAACAGGATGTGTAAATTATTATATAATAAGTATTGTGCAATAGCAAGAAATTTTCAATTGCACAGTATTAATTGCACAATAGCAAGAAATCTTCAATTGCACAGTATTGCACAGTATTGCGCAATAGCAAGAAATCTTCAATTGCACAGTATTGTGCAATAGCAAGAAATATCCAATAGCACAATATTGCGCAATAGCAAGAAATTGTCAATTGTACAGTATTGTGCAATAGCAAGAAATATTCAATTGCACAGTATTGTGCAAAAGAAGATACTACATATAAATTGCTTATTTCTTATCAATTTCAATGGGGTTTTATTCTTGAATTCTTGGGGTTCTTTAATATGCTGAATCTAACCGTGTATTAAGTTTTTGGATTTTGGGCCCCGTTTTTAAATTGGTCCACATTGAGGTCCAAAGGGTCCAAAATTTAACTTTGTTTGATTTCATCAAAAATTGAATTATTGGGGTTCTTTGATATGCCGAATCTAACCGTGTATTTAGATTCTTAATTTTTGGTTCAGTTTTCAAATTGGTCTACATTAAGGTCCAAAGGGTCCAAAATTAAACTTAGTTTGATTTTAACAAAAATTGAATTTTTAGGGTTCTTTGATATGCTGAATCTAAACATGCATTTAGATTTTTGATTATGGGCCCAGTTTTTAAGTTGGTCCAAATCGGGGTCCAAAATTAAACTTTGTTTGATTTCAACAAAAATTGAATATATGGGGTTCTTTGATATGCTGAATCTAACCATGTATTTAGATTTTTGATTTTTGGGCCCCGTTATCAACTTTGTCCACATTGAGGTCAAAAGGGTCCAAAATTAAACTTTGTTTGATTTCATTAAAAATTGAATTCTTGGGGTTCTTTGATATGCTGAATCTAACCATGTATTTAGATTTTGGATATTGGACCATAATAGGTGAATGTCCAATTTAAAATTTTTAAGTTCTTAGACCACATTCATTCTGTGTCAGAAACCTATGCTGTGTCAAATATTTAATCACAATCCAAATTCAGAGCTGTATCAAGCTTGAATGTTGTGTCCATACTTGCCCCAACTGTTCAGGGTTCGACCTCTGCGGTCGTATCAAGCTGCGCCCTGCGGAGCATTTTATTAGTACTTGTCCCTGACAATGCCTGAGAAAATTAAACTGAATTTTACTTGTCAGGAAAAAAGTAACTGTCCACGAATTTCCAAATAGATATATAGTGTTTTACTGTTTTCAATAAAAAGATTTATATTGTCTATTTCAGATATATACAACACACAGTATCTGAAGATCAGATATGTATGCAGATAAACCCAGGAGACAGATCTATGCCCAGTAATCCATCGCATGCTACTGTGACTGTTGAAAGTAGAAATCCAGAGACTAAACTAAAAGAAATTAAAAGGTAGATTTTCTATGTTATGTTTTATGTATTAGTGTCATTTTCATTTCGACCTGTGAGTTTGAATGTTCCTTTGGTCTTTTCTGTAACTCAAAAATGGTGGAAATTATGTAGAGACCAACATGAAAAAGAAATTAAACGCTATGACAACAAACCTCACCGAACGGATTTGGCACGTTATATAGAATTCCATGACTCTCACATTTCCTACAAATTTGCATTTCAGAATTCGTAGAATTACATGAAGCACTTTTTTATGAATATAAAAATATATAGACAATAACTGTTTAGTGTCTTTAAATATCAGCTGTATTTGTATGAGACTAAGAAACATGTGTAATGCAAGCTTCAGCGAGCTATTACTCCTGTTTCAAGCCGAATACAGCTGATATTTAAAGACAGTTTGACACTAAACAGTTATTGTTCTTATCCTGCAATTGATTTTGCATATATTTTTTTTCCATCCGAATCGTTGAATTTGTTTTGAAAGAAATTGACATGACTCAAATGTGGCAGCATGGAGGACACCAAATTGAACTGTGACGTAAACAGTAATTTGACATAACCCTTAGCTCGCAACAGAAGAAGGATACCAGGAAACTATATACATTTAGTATACATATTCGCTTTGTGTTATCTGGACACCTGTATTAGTATAGTAGAAAGGTCCAATGCAGGATAATAAAAAAAATATGCAGTGCCAACTTTGATGTGTATTTGAGCCAGCATATTTAGTAATTAAAAACCTCTAACAAACATTGAAGAGCTGAAAATAGAAACTAGTACATATAGATTGTAGGTTGTATAGCCAATTCCCTCATAGGAATTCAATGTGCATGAGATGCTTTGTAATTTTGAAATGAGTTTCTAAATTTTTTTAACCACAAAATAATTTCACCACAATGAATTATATATGTTATTTTTATAGATACCAATGTGATTACACGGACTGTTCTAGAACTTACAGTACTGCTGGAAATCTCAGAACTCATAAGAAGACACATAAAGGTAAAGCCTATGCCATAAGTAAATAAGTAAATATACTGCAAGGTTATTCAGGTAAAAATCAACTTTGATGAAGTTTCACACTGTTTTTGGGTGATTCACTCTGAATTACATTGTACCTCTCTGTAGCTAGTATTCAACAGGAATATACACCTGAGTGCTATCACTTTCATTCAACACCCAGTTTCACAATGAATCAACATCAACAGTGATCTGTACCTGTTAACTAATCATCTTAAGGGGAGGTAACTCTGGATAAGTGATCCATATGACCTTTTTCTGTATTTTTATTCTATTTAATTTGCAAAAATTAAATCAAAATCCTTGATTGATGATCCTCATCATGATATAAGATATATCTAAAAACAAACATATAATTAAAGGCTTTTGAATAAATCAAATAATCTGTGATTTGGCCAGGGGAGATAATTAAGACATAGTATATTTTTGCCTGAACTTTTGTTAAGTCGAAAATCATGATTTATGTATCAACTGATTATTAAAAAACAACTGTAATATGTTGTCACAATGACTTTTTTACCCTGAAGTATCTCTATATATGAGGGGAGACCTACAATATTGTCAAGAATCACTACCAAAATTGGCAAGAATAATTTCAGAGTAGGCACTTTGAGGAATACAGAAGTTGGGTCGATATGATAACCATTCAAAAGAGTTCTTTTTATATTGGCCTAATGATACTTTGGATTTTTATGCATCTTAACCTTTCCTTACAGGAGAATATACATTTGTGTGCAATGAAGGAGGCTGTGGCAAAGCTTTCCTTACTTCTTACAGCCTGAAAATTCATGTACGAGTTCATACAAAAGAAAAACCATACAACTGTGATTTACCTGAATGTGAAAAGGCTTTCACCACACTATACAGGTATGATAAATATTGAGGATTGCATCCAGTCATTGCAGTTTATGGGATTAGGAAATTTCAGAAGTCTGAAACATTTCTGAATTTGTTAAAAGTCATCTCAAATATTACTTTCAAATTCTAATTTAAAATTTGAACTCTGTCAGTGTCAGAACCAGGTTCCTACTTGTAAATTTCGTTTATAATGCCAAGATGTCTATGGGAGAACATTGTATATGTTCTGTCCATTAGACTTGTCTGTTCAGCATAAAATTAAATATCCTTCTGTAAGTACAATAAGTGATCAAACCATAACAAATTGATTAAGGTGCACCTGATTTATATTTTTCAGAATGAATTTTGGGCTTTCCTATAGCAAAGCAAAGAATTTGTCATTTGTATTTTTTGGGGAAGATTAGCATTAACAAAATTAAATTGGATGGAAGTTTTGACAGAATAGCTTACGTAGATGTCATTTTCCAAAGTTATCTTGATATTGAGTTAGTAAAAATTGTTTAAAGTTTGACTTTCTTGCAATGAGATGTTAAAAAGTAAACAATAATTTTTAATTATTTTTCAGATTGAGAGCACACCAGAGGATCCATACAGGAAAGACATTTAACTGTGGAGAGGGAGAATGCAGGAAATTCTTCACTACCCTTAGTGACCTCAAAAAACATAAAAGAACACATACCGGTGAAAGACCTTACCAGTAAATACATTAAACCTCTTTAGTCCTTATATATTAAAGTATATATTTGTCCTATAAACCAATTTGCAAATAAGAAGGTGGTATAACCAATACTGCCCTAAAATTGAAAAATACTGACATTCTTCAATCGATTCGAAAGTATATTAGTCCTATTGATAAATATCGAAATGATCAGAATAAATAGTACGAAAATGGCTATGTTTATATCCTAGCATATTTAATCATTTCAAGGTCATTTTTGAGTGAGCAAGTCAATATTTTTAGATGAAAATCTGTCATGTACATTTTGGAAAGAGCAAACACTGGTCAGCTTGTAGTCAGAATAATAAGTTGAATAGGGTTGACATATCTTCCTTTGAATTGTTAATCAACTAGCTAACAAGTTAAAACATTGAACAGGAAAAAGCAATGTGCATATTATTCATATTGCATATAGAAATAAGGATACATGTATGTGATATAATTGTCAATATGATAAGTATCCACTTAAGATTATAAATAGACGAGGAAGTAAACTATCTGTTGAAATAAGTCATTTAAAGATATTTTAAAACATGTTAACTTCAGTAAAAGTGGAAATTTTGTGCAGGTTTATTTTTGCTTATTTTGCTATCATATAGAATGTGCAAAACTATTGCTGCATCAACAGTTTGCAGAAAGCAAAAATATTAATATGGAATTCAAATTTAACCCGGTCTTGTAAGGTTTTTGCATTGAAATTGTAAAAAATTAACAACTGGCTTAAGTATCCACTTTATGTGACATCTTACTAGTGTTGGGTATACACAAGTGATCAAGTTAACATCAACAAGCATGTTCTCATCCTGAATATTGTTGAAAGGTTACCTGATCTTACCTCCTGGATAATAAACCTTTACTTATCCATCTGTAACTACGATGTATAATTTTTATTTCTGTTTCACAGGTGTGATGAGAATGGATGTGGCAAGGCTTTTGTAGCTAGTCATCACCTAAAAACACACATAAGAAGTCATACAGGTACTGGTTCATTCCTCTTATTATAAATTCAGGGATCCCCACAGGTTATTTAAGGGTGGTGCTCCTCCACCCTAAGAATTTCAGTACCACTCTTTGATTTTCTTAGCATATATACCTTAAATATGAGATTGTATAAGAAAATCATTTTTAATCAGTGTAATTTTGAAAAACTACAATTAAGTTTTAATATTTTGTCATAAAATGAAGATAAGTAAATATTTGAACACTCATATACATGTTTATAAGAGTATTGCAAAAGAAAGGAAAATTGTTACATAGAAAAATCAATGGAAAATTTAAGAAAATAGAGATAACTTGAATAATGATTACAGTGTCATAGCTTTTTTTGGTTTTGTTATTTTGATGATGATGGGACCTTCTGCAGCCAGTTGGTGGGCAATGATCTGTGTACATTACCTCTAAAATTACTGAGACTTGATATGCACTGTCAATTGCATAAATTACATAGTGAGCTTATTCTACATTGATGACAATCAATTTTTGAGCTACTTCCTCTGTCAATGACTTTATATAAATGTATTAAAAGTGGTGTAAATCGCTTCAAATGTAAAAACACTCTTAAGATAAGACTGTCAAATACCATGTATTTTTCATGCCATCACAATGAAAAATTTGGATAATGACCAAATAACCTGAGGTCGTGACTGAGTTGAACCCAGGAAAAGCTTTTTATACGACCGCAAAAAAATTTTTGTGGTCGTATATTGGTATGACGTTGGCGTCGTCGTCGTCGTCCGGCGTCGTCCGAAGACACATTGGTTTTCGCACTCTAACTTTAGTTTAAGTGAATGGATCTTTATGAAATTTTACCACAAGGTTCAATACCACAAAAGGAAGGTTGGGATTGATTTTGGGGGTTATGGTATTAACAGTAAAGGAATAAGGGGCCAAAAAGGGGCCAAAAATAAGCATTTTTGTAACTTCCAGACATAACTTGTGTGTTAGTGTATGGATCTCTCTGACATTGTACCACAAGGTTCCATATCACTAAAGGAATGCTGGGATTGATTTTGGGGGTAATTGCCTCCAAATTTTAGGAATTAGGGGCCAAAAAAGGGGCAAAAAACAAGCATTTTTCTAGTTTCATGACAATAACTTGTGTGTAAGTGTATGGATCTTTCTGAAATTGTACTACAAGGTTCCATATCACAAAGGGAAAGCTGGGTTTGAGTTTGGGGGTAATTGCCCTAAACGTTTAGGAATTTGGGGCCAAAAAGGGGCCAAAAAACACATTTTTTTCTAGTTTCCAGACAATAACTTGTGTTCAAGTGTATGGATCTCTCTGAAATTGTACTGCAAGGTACCATACCACAAAGGGAAGGCTGGGATTGAGTTTGGGGGTGATGAATCATAATGGGGGTTCAAAAAATTTGGGGGGGGATTTATTTTTTTTTCTTTTTCTTTTTTTCCTTTTTTGTTTCTTTTTAAATTTTCCATTTTAAGTTGGTTATTTCTGATTTATATTTAAAATCAAATAATAATGATATGGTAGGAGATACACACCAAACAGGATGTGTAAATTATTATATAAGTATTATGCAATAGCAAGAAATTTTCAATTGCACAGTATTGCACAATAGCAAGAAATCTTCAATTGCACAGTATTGCCCAATAGCAAGAAATCTTCAATTGCACAGTATTGCGCAATAGCAAGAAATATCCAATAGCACAATATTGCGCAATAGCAAGAAATTGTCAATTGTACAGTATTGCGCAATAGCAAGAAATATTTAATAGCACAGGATTGTGCAAAAGAAGATACTTCCTATAAATTGCTTATTTCTTGACCAATTTCAATGGGGTTTTATTCTTGATTTCATGGGGTTCTTTAATATGCTGAATATAACCGTGTATTTAGTTTTTGGATTTTGGGCCCCGTTTTTAAATTGGTCCACATTGAGGTCCAAAGGGTCCAAAATTAAACTTTGTTTGATTTCATCAAAAATTGAATTATTGGGGTTCTTTGATATGCCGAATCTAACTGTGTATTTAGATTCTTAAATTTTGGTTCCGTTTTCAAATTGGTCTACATTAAGGTCCAAAGGGTCCAAAATTAAACTTAGTTTGATTTTAACAAAAATTGAATTCTTAGGGTTCTTTGATATGCTGAATCTAAACATGTATTTAGATTTTTGATTATGGGCCCAGTTTTCAAGTTGGTCCAAATCGGGGTCCAAAATTAAACTTTGTTTGATTTCAACAAAAATTGAATATATGGGGTTCTTTGATATGCTGAATCTAACCATGTATTTAGATTTTTGATTTTTGAGCCCCGTTATCAACTTTGTCCACATTGAGGTCAAAAGGGTCCAAAATTAAACTTTGTTTGATTTCATCAAAAATTGAATTATTGGGGTTCTTTGATATGCCGAATCTAACGGTGTATTTAGATTCTTAATTTTTGGTTCCGTTTTCAAATTGGTCTACATTAAGGTCCAAAGGGTCCAAAATTAAACTTAGTTTGATTTTAACAAAAATTGAATTCTTAGGGTTCTTTGATATGCTGAATCTAAACATGTATTTAGATTTTTGATTATGGGCCCAGTTTTCAAGTTGGTCCAAATCGGGGTCCAAAATTAAACTTTGTTTGATTTCAACAAAAATTGAATATATGGGGTTCTTTGATATGCTGAATCTAACCATGTATTTAGATTTTTGATTTTTGGGCCCCGTTATCAACTTTGTCCACATTGAGGTCAAAAGGGTCCGAAATTAAACTTTGTTTGATTTCATCAAAAATTGAATTCTTGGGGTTCTTTGATATGCTGAATCTAACCATGTATTTAGATTTTGGATATTGGACCATAATAGGTGAATGTCCAATTTAAAATTATTAAGTTCTTAGACCACATTCAATCTGTGTTAGAAACCTATGCTGTGTCAAATATTTAATCACAATCCAAATCCAAAGCTGTATCAAGCTTGAATGTTGTGTCCATACTTCCCCCAACTGTTCAGGGTTCGACCTCTGCGGTCGTATCAAGCTGCGCCCTGCGGAGCATTTTATCTATTTTAATATCTGTTATGATGTATTTAAATGGGCTTTTATGGTTACAAAGGAATTTTATTTTTAGATATTACTATAAAATGTTGCTGATGCTGATTAAGGATTTTGTTTATTTTTAGCCATGACTATGATGTCATTTTCTATTTTAATACCTTTATGATGTAATTTCCATTTTTAGATATTACTGTTAAATGATGCTGATTAAGGGTTTTTTGCTATGTTTAGCCATGACTATGATGTCATTTTCTATTTTAATATCTTTATGATGTATTTAAATGGGCTTTTATGGTTACAAAGGAATTTTATTTTTAGATATTACTTTAAATGTTGCTGATTAAGGATTTTTGTTTATTTTTAGCCATGACTATGATGTCACTTTCTATTTTAATACCTTTATGATGTATTTAAATGGGCTCTCATGTATTTAGATTTTTGATTATTTATACATGTTACCAAATTGGTCCACATTGAACAAAAACGGTCCAAATTTCAACTTTATTACATTACATCAAACATTGAATTCTACATATTCTTTGATATATTGAAATTAACAAACAATTTAGTTTATGGAGATTCCACCATAATAGGTAAATTAAATTTTTTCCAGTTCTTACACCACATTCATCCTGTGTCAGAAACCTATGCTGTGTCAAATATTTAATGACAATCCAAAGTCATAGCTGTATCAAGCTTGAATTTTGTGTCCATACTTGCCCCAACTGTTCAGGGTTCGACCTCTGCGGTCGTATCAAGCTGCGCCCCAGCGAAGCATTTTATTGAACAAGTGAAATTACATATGATTAACACACAAAATAAGTCAAGAAGGAAAAAAATCATTTATATATATCAAGGTGTTCATTTCTACAATTGTAGATATTGATTTATTACAGGTGAAAAGCCATTTTCCTGTGATGGATGTCCAAGAGCATTTACTACAAATTACAGTCTAAAAATTCATAAAAAGAATCATGAAAGAGATGTAGAATCTGAACGGGTAAGTATAGATTTGTACTATTCCACTTAAATGAATGTGGGAGGGTAGGAACATAATTTTAATTTTGACCATGTGTTGCAGGTCATCTATGGTTTTGTGTCCATTTGATGTATGCAAAATACTCATAGAAAGTATGTTGGATATGGGGGGAGTTTAAATTTAAATGGAACAGCCCTCCCAATATATATGTACTCAATTGTTACTGTCACTTTAACAATATGAAATAGAGGAAGATTAAGGATGTTCGCTCCTCTTGTTTTTGAATTTTTGCCAGATATTCGGAATCCTCTGGTTTTATCCATGTAGTACCAATAAAAAAATTTTCCCACTGACCCCTACTTTTCTTTTCATAATTTGATTGAATATAGTTTGAAATGCCATCTTTGAAAATCTTATTAAATCCTTGTTATTTTTTCATACTTTTAGACAGAAAAAAGGTGTCAATGTTAAATGTAAGAAAAATCTAGAGGGAATCATTTCCCGCCAAATTTTCAATGGCTTATATCTCGAAAACAAGCACACGGACCCTTCATTTTTTTCTGCTTTTTTAGTTCCTTTATTTATATACTATCAATCTATAACAGTCTTTTAAAAAGCTTGTTATTTTAAAACAGAGTAGCGAACATCACTAACATATTCTTGGATTGCCCTTTTCTGACTCAGATTTAAATATCTAATTTGTAGGTGAAGGAAAACTATTTTATTTTCATTTTTTTATGCCCTCGCCGTGAGGCATTAAGTTTTACCCTTGTCCGTCTGTACCTACGTACATGCGTACGTATGTCCATACGTCCCAAAATTGGTTTCAGTTCTCTAACTTGAGTTTGCCTCAACCTCAGATCAAGTTTGAATTTTGGTGGCGTCACTTTAACCGTTCTAGAGTTATGCCCCTTTATAAATGGAAAAATTGCAAAATTTTTAGTTTCCGTTCTCTAACTTAAGTTTGCCTCAACCAAATGTTATGAAACTTATACACAATGCTTATTACCACAAAACACAAATCAAGTTTGAATTTTGGTGGCGTCACTTTTAACCGTCCTAGAGTTATGCCCTTTATAAATGGAAAGATTGCAAAATTTTTAGTTTCCTTTATGTAACTTTAGTTTGCCCCAACCAAACATTATGAAACCTATACACAATATTCATTACCACAAAACTAAGATCAAGTACAAATTTTTTGTTTCCGTTTTCTAACTTTAGTTTGCCTCAACCAAATGTTATGAAACTTATACACAATGCTTATTACTACATAATACAGATTAAGTACGAAATTTGGTGGTGACACTTTCACCATTTTTGAGTTATGTCCCTTTATAAACATAAAAATTGCTGAATTTTTCGTTTCCGATCTCTAACTTTAGTTTGTCTCAACCAAATGTTATAAAACTTATACACAACCGTTCTAGAGTCATGCGTGTTTACAAATAGAAAAATTGCTGAATTTTTAGTTTCTGTTCTCTACTTAAGTTAGCCTCAACCAAATGTGATGAGACTTACACACAATGCTTATTACCACAAAACTCAGATCAAGTTCAAATTTGGGTAGCGTCACTTTTACCATTCTTCAGTTATGTCCCTTTATAACTATATGATATGCAAGCAGGGGCATCATCTGTGTCCACATGTGGACACTATCCGCATTTATTTTTTTTTAAATTTGTTCGAAAGAATTATCAGAAAAACCTAAATCAGTCTTCAATTATTTTGTATAGGGTCATTTTTCATGATTGGTTGGTAAAGGTCAAATACTCATTTTTTTTATTTTTTGGCTTGCAGATAGCAGAGAAAAATTAGTTAACCATGTTTAAAAATAATTAAAACCTGCAAAAGTATGAAGTGAGCAGACCCTAAATCTAGGTTATCATAAAATGTACAATAGGTTTTTATTATTTTCATTTTGAGAACTAATATATTTGGGATCCTTCCCTATCTGTGTTTTTTAGAAATGAAGTGTAAATGTCACAATGAAATAAGAGTAAAAAGAGAGTTTAATTTGTATTTTACAATGCTACTTGTAATAATAGAATGATTGATCAATAATTGTGTACTGTCACTTCTGCACAGAAAGGATATTTAGCGTGACAAGTGTAATGATAGATTAGGAGTAAAAGGATATTGGGTGGATGCACAATAAACAAAAATATAATCATATTACTTTTGTTTGGATGATGTCTTCAGTCAATTCCACAGATAATAGTTAGAATCAGAGAAACAGTGTTCTGCAGTTACAGTTGATGTTTCTTGGATCTGTGAGCATCAAGGTTCCTTGCACTTTACAGCAATATAAGAACATCCCTTAGCCTTGACTTAAGAAGTACTCTTATATATGCATAGAACAAATGACAAAGGGGAGATAACTCATGATTATCATTGTCAAGTTTTTCACTTTTTTCAGGTGATACAATCTTATGCTGATCAGTTATTAATGCTCTGTGATCCAGTTGAAGAAAACCAGTTACAAAGTAAGAAAAGATGTAGATAAATTTATTGTACAGTTTAAAGTACCAGTATGGATGCATGCTTGCTTTGAGTGTGGGAGATCTTGGGTTCAATCCCCAGCCATGTCAAACCAGACTTTAAAATTGGTAATTTCTGCTTCTCCTCTAAGCATGCAGCATTTAGGAGTAAAAGCAAACAATTAAGACTGGAAGGCCTGGAGTCAGAATAATGTGTTTGGGTAGGATGACATGTCTTCCTACTGATTGTTACCTAATGAATTAGCACATTAAAAATCCAATTAAGTAGAAAGCAGAGGTCATATTCATATCACATTACCGGTAATGTGTTCTCATCCTGAACTTGTATTTAGTTTGCCACTGGCTATCCATCATCATCATCCTCATATTTGTAATTGCATTCACCTTGTCCGTCCATCCTTTTGTCCAACATATTTTCCGTCACACATTTCGCAGGTACAACTGAACAGAATGACTTCATATTTGGTCAGCAGCTTGGCAGTGCTGAGTTTAAGTATGTGAGCACTTTTCAGATCTGTCAGATACCTACTTCCTGTTTTCCGATACTATGAATTTAGTGGCGGATTTAGGGGGGCCCAGGGGCCCCCCCCCTCCCCCCTTTTGTGGGAAAAATTTGGTTGATTATATAGGGAATCACTGAAGCATGACTGGAGTGGGCCCCCTCTTAGGCAGTCAGTGGGCCCCCACTTATGAAAATTTCTGGATCCGCCACTGGAATTACAAGTGGGGTATGCTTAGTACGACCTCATGTGCAACTTCTTGTTTTTATTTAAATCGAAAATATTTATTCCTTTAGATTGCGTGAAACGATTACAGACAAAAGGAGATAACTCAATTCAAAATATTGCCTAAATATTTTTCTTTGCTCAATACAATGCAATGTTAAATTTTAAGATCACAATCCAAATTGAAAGCAATCTTTACATCATCAGTGCTAACAATCACTTTGATTAAACTTCTTTTCTAAAGCAACAAAACCAAATATTTCAAACTTAATAGGAATGAATAAGAATACTACAAAAATACTAATTTCATGATGATCAGTTGGTATACAAGGGGGCAATTGTTGCACGTAAGATCAATTCACATCTAATGACAAATCACTTTCTACTTTTTTCTTAGAACTACTTAGCTTTTCGGAACATAACCATGCAGGAATAAGATATGAAAGGTTTTGTAAAATACCAGGCAAGCATTTCAGAATTTGTGTTAAATTTTGGCACTTTGTGTCAATAATGTTTTATATTTTAAACATGATTGATTTCAAATTAAATAGTAATGGTGCCAGATTAATGAATATTGTTTTGAGACCTGAATTTGGATAATATACAAAAACAACCACCATTTTGATACTAAATTAAAATAATTATATTAAACACTTATATCAGATGAAATAAATTGCTATAATTTTACATGTACATTAGAATATCTTTTGATGAACTGATCTTACTGATTTTTGTCGAGCCTGCGACTTTTGTCGCAGAAAGCTCGACATAGGGATAGTGATCCGGCGGCGGCGGCAGCCGTGTTAGCTAACTTCTTAAAAGCTTTATATTTTAGAAGGTGGAAGACCTGGATGCTTCATACTTTGTATATGGATGCCTTATGTTACGAAGTTTCCGTCAGTCACATGTCCAATATCCTTGACCTCATTTTCATGGTTCAGTGACTACTTGAAAAAAAAGTTAACATTTTTTGTTATGTTAAATTCTCTCTTATTATAAGTAGTAGGATAACTATATTTGGTATGTTCGTGCCTTGCAAGGTCCTCATGCCTGTCAGACAGTTTTCACTTGACCTCGACCTCAATTCATGGATCAGTGAACAAGGTTAAGTTTTGGTGGTCAAGTCCATATCTCAGATACTATAAGCAATAGGTCAAGTATATTCGGTGTATGGAAGGACTGTAAGGTGTACATGTCCAACTGCAGGTGTCATCTGACCTTGACCTCATTTTCATGGATCAGTGGTTATAGTTAAGTTTTTGTGTTTTGGTCTGTTTTTCTTATACTGTATGCAATAGGTCTACTATATTTGGTGTATGGAATGATTGTAAGGTGTACATGTCTAGCTAGCAGGTGTCATTTGACCTTGACCTCATTTTTATGGTTCAGTGGTCAAAGTTAAGATTTTGAGTTTTGGTCTTTTTTTCTAATACTATATGCAATAGGTCAACTATATTTGGTGTATGGAAATATTTTATGATCTATATGTCAGTCGCGCAGGTTTTATTTGACCTTGACCTCATTTTCACAGTTCATTGCTCAGTGTTAAGTTTTTGTGTTTTGGTCTGTTTTTCTTAAACTATAAGCAATAGGTCAACTATATTTGTTGTATGGAAGAATTGTTAGCTGTACATGCCTGCCTGGCATGGTTCATCTGACCTTGACCTCATTTTCATGGTTCATTGGTCAATGTTTAGTTTTCTTCGTTATTGTTAAGTTTATGTGACAGTTGTAATAAAGCTTTATATTAAGGACTATCAACATAATATCAGTGATTAGTAAAGAAGGCGAGACATTTCAGCGTGTGCACTCTTGTTATACGACCTCGTATTGGTATTATGTTATGGTGTTGTCTGCTTCTGAAGACATTTTGGTTCGCAGACAATAACTTGAGTATAAGTTCATGGATCTATGAAATTTAAGCACAAGGTTCCATACCAGTAAAGGATGGTTGGGATTGTTTTGGGGGGCTATTGTCCTAACGGTTTTGTTATTAAGGGCCAAAAAAGGTCAGTTTTACTGGTTCATGGAAAATAAATTAGTTTGCAGACAATATCTTTAGTACAAGTGTATGGATGTGTAAGAATTTTTGCACATGGTTCGATACCACAATAGGAGGGTTGGGATTGATTCCAGGGGATATTGTCTTAGCTGTTTTGTAATTAGGGGCCAAAAAGGGGCCAAAAACAATTATTTGTCTGGTTTTAAGACAATAACTTGAGTATAAGAGATATTTCTCTGGTCAAAATTTTAGCACAAGGTTCCACACCACAAAAGGAAGGTTGGGATTAGTTTTTGGGGTTATTGTCATAGCTGTTATGGAATTAGGGGCCAAAAAGGGCCTGACAAAAACAATTTTTTGTCAGGTTCACAGACAATAACTTGAGGATAAGTGTATGGATCTATATTAAATTTTATTATATAAATAATTTTAATTATCAAATTGGAATATAAATTGCCTATTTTTATTGTGTTATTATATATCAATATTCATAATGTATGACTTAGGGATGTTCCTAACTGGGGGTGGGGGTGGTGGTTTGGAAGGCACTTGAGTTATTTTTGTATGGGTGGGTGCACTCCTGCAATGTTCCCCCATCAGTTCAAAACTGACTGAAGATGGGTCAAACATTCCTCAAGTGGTCATGAAGTTCAAATATTGTGGTTATATATTCAAAGTAAAATGCAATTGTAAGGGCGATGGCCATAAAAAGTGCCTTCCAACCCCCACAAACTGTTTAGATTTGAAATTTGTCATTCCCAAATGGATTTCCTTTGTTCATGAACATCTTGGTAAAGTTTTCCAGTCTGTAAAGTTTTTCAAGTCTATTATCATTGAAAAAGAGGATCATCAGGTATTGTTATCAATTTCTTACTTATTTCATGTCAAAAATTTCAGTGACTCAAAATGAATCTTCTGTGTATCTAAAAGTTGAAAAAAAACAAAAAAATGATTTAAAAACCTGGAATAACAAAAAAATTGAGTGGAGGAGTTAAATAATATGGTTAACCAGAAACAACTTTTTTTTTTACATTTGCCTTGTTCTAATTTTAGATTACAGTCCAGGCAGTTTACAGGAAATCACTCCTGCAATGTTACAATCATCCCCATCAGTTCAGAACTCAGCTGAAGATGGGTCAAACATTCCTCAAGTGATCAGTCAAATACAGATAGTGCCTTCGTCAGAAGGAGCTTGCACATTAATAAATCTACCTCCAGTTCTTCAACAAAATATAACAGTGATTGATGAAAATCAAAGAAGCACGATCATCAATCCCAATCCCTCCGATATGTCTAGAAACCAAGTTGAAGGTAGTAGCAGTTTTACGAATATAATCGATCATGGAAAATGCATTTGTTCAACTATATCTCCGGTAGATAGCATACAGGTTCAGATCCCTAGCAATACTCAAGAGACTGGTTATGACTTGTTAAGCAGTTTGGAAGCAATGACCAGAGGAAGTGGTGGAGCTGCCACAATTCAACCTAATGTTGCCACAGTTCAGCCTAGCATGGGCACTATACCTGTGTCAGGTATTGAAGCGATACCTCTGGCAAGTCCTCTAATTAAACAAAGTGATGGAAAACCAACTGTCAAAGTACAACACTTCCTGATTACAAAGGTAGTGACCGATACACCAAATGGTGAACGGTTTGAAACTGAAAGTGCAGTCGAGTTGCCGAACTTGAGTTCTGCAACATTAACCAATAGCCAAACTAATCTAGGCGACAATGTTTTAGTTTATCCACAGTTAGTTAATCTGACACAGGGTGCTGTACAGGCGGCGGCAACAGCTGTAACCGAGAAAGTAGATATATCTAAAAGCCATCTGAAATCAACGGATGTGACACTTTCACAAACGTATCCTGCTGTCAGTAGTTGTGAAACTCCCATCGTTCTAGACTTGACACAACAGTCTGCACAGATGATGGCTGGCTGCACAACAATTGATTATTCAGATAACAAAACACTCTTAGCTGATCTTGCTGTTAACAAGGATGCTGATACTTCCCAGAATGCACTGGTTGCTGACAATTCCCAGAATGCACTGGATACAGAGTCTGTTTTCTTAGATGAGGGAACTTGTGCAAAATGTTGTATAAATGTACCTGTGACAAGTCAGTAACTTCAGCTTATTCTAGGCGACAAAGAAATTTGGAAAGTGATATTTTTGCATGTTTTTTTTAAGTTTGATATATATAATAAGATTATATACTGAGTGCCAATCTTACAACACATCATTTTTCAAGCCACTTTTTGTCCATTTTTTAATTAAAGTTCAAAAACTTACCTGTAAGGCATTCCTTGAACATATGGTTACATGTTTCTTGAACAATTTAGTCTATGATCAATTTTTAGCAGTTCCTGAACTTGGAATTGGCTCAAAGAGATCAAAAGCAAAACATGTGCAAAAGTCACAGATTTCTTCCAATTATGACCATGCTCAACAAAATGCAAAGGTTAAGTGTTAAACCTCATCAATTTTTTTTAACTTTTGCTTTAGGGGTTCATTATGATTGTAATTTGCCATCCAAGACACAAATTTCAAATTTTGGTTAAAAACTAAAAATTAAAAAATTGTGAATGTTAGATCTCAAAATTAAAAAAAATGTCGGATATTGGTATCACGTCATCGTTGTTGTCGTCAGCATCGTCCAAAGACATTTGGTTTCCGGACAATAACTTTGTAAATAGAAATCTATGAAATTTAAACACAAGGTTTATAACCACAAAAGGAAGGTTGACAGGGGTTAAAAAATTGTGTTACAGCTCACTAGCCCAGGACTTGTTGGTAGCAGGATTTTACTAGCCCTGTTAGTAGAACTGCTAGCCAATCAAAACTGGCCTGCTAGCCCGAGTATGCCTTACAAATTCAGAATTTGTTGCATAATACATAGTAGGTGTCCTTTGTTTTGAAAGCGGCAATATACACTGTATCTAATAAAATAAATTGAATAAATTTTTGTTTTATTAATTATAACAAGGATCTCTAGACATCTTTTTGGATTTCCCTTGTACTATGGGTTGTTAAATATTTTCGGGCACAGAAAACATGTTCATTGGTCTTGTCATGTGAAACCAGTGATTCAATTCCCATATTTGTTGTTCCCACATACAAAGCAGATTTTTTATCAGCGTGATCAGGAAAGTAACGGCAATATTCACAAAACATCATCTCTTGTTTATCATCAGTAACAGCCGACCTTGCCCAATTGGAATCTTTCTGTCCATGACACTATAAATGGTTTTTTCCGCTTTTCCTGGTCGTATTTGGCATTTTTTGGGATGAATTTTCAGCCTCATTACCCCCTTCATCTACTGTTTTTCGTTTTAAACTGAAAAAGTTCCTGTGGTGGCCGTACTAAAATATTTTGAAATAAATTGTGCATGGTTTCAAGCTCAACAGCTGTCCGACAAGACAGGTCAATATCGATCATTACATTATACACCAAAGTACGATTAATTAAAAATCTCGGCATAAGCAATGTACAATACCCCCTGTACTGAGAAATTGATATTGAAAGTACATGAATTGCGATCAATACATGATACCGGTCCACCCAGAGTTAGTTGTTTATTTTTAAAACATGGGTTCAAATTCTTGGACTCCCGGATGACGTAATTGAATTTGTTTGGCTAAGATAGCTATATATATAGAATAGTGATGAGAGGATTTTCCACTTTCTATTTTGGAAATGCCAAGAATTTTTTGTGACTAGTCCGTCGGGCATATTGGGTTACAAGTTTTAATTGCCCGAGGTGTAATAGTCTAGTCCCGGGCGTCGGGCTAGTGGATTTTTTAACCCCTGGGTTGGGGGTTATAGTCCTAACAGTTTAGGAATTGGGGCCAAAAAGGGGCCCAAATAAGCATTTTTCTAGTTTCCAGACAATAACTTGTGGAACGGTGTATGGATCTCTCTGAAATTATATCACAAGTTTCCATACCACAAAGGGATGGTTAGGATTGGCTTTGGGGGGTTATTGCTCAAACCGTTTAGGAATTAGGGGCAAGAAAAGTGGAAAAACAAGGGTTTCCTGGTTAATGGACAATTAAAAAAAAAGTACAATTTTATGTTTGGATTACCTCCCTTACACTGCTTTAAAATTATATATAAAGAAATGTTGTATTGTCTTGAGGTGATTAGCTGTCAATTTCTTTTTAGAAGTTACTATTTAAAAATGCTGATTAAGGAATATTAATTTTAGCCATGATTATGTATGTCATTTTCTATTTTAAGACTTTTATGATGTATTTAAATGGTAATTATGGTTGCAAACACCATTGGAAATTTGAATTGAGATTATGACCATATCTTGAGGGAAAGAATTTTTTGGGGGAAAAAGGGGGGGCAGGTGAAAATTTTTTTTTTTTTGGGGGGGGGGGGGGGGGGTCAATTCACAACAGCATAGTGTATTGCACAAAAGCAAAAAATTTAATATAAATTCAAATCATATAACCAATTCTAAGTTCTTTGACTACAGTTATTCTGTGTCAGAAACCTATTATGTGTCAAATATTTAATTACAATCCAAATTCAGACCTGTATCAAGCGCGAATATTGTGTCCATTTTTGCCCCAACTGTTCAGGGTTGGACCTCTGCGGTCGTATCAAGCTGCGCTTGGCGAAGCAATTTATTTTGTATGCATATCCTCAGAAGTCTGTAAAGTTTTGCCACAATTGTCCAACTTCCATATAAGATCTTTTGTTATGAATTTTTATTAAATGGAAAATTCATGCAGGTGTTGTGTATCTGTTGGCACTTAGTATATATTTGAAAGATTATGAAAAATGTGATAATTTGGATTTGTCATTTTTGTATTGAGTTTATATATAATTATGATGTAAAAATTGTCTGCTTAAAAAGAATTATCCTAAAAAAGTTATGAAAGTTTATGCATAATAAAAAAAATTATTTATAGCTTCAAATTCATATCAGGTATTTTGTTGACAATGGACAGATGTCAGTATTATGTGAAACTTTTCATGAAATATGATTTTTTTATATTTTTATATTTATTTTCTGGCAGTTTCTTTCATAACCTTTATCAAAATATAGCAAACTGTCAAATTAATTTTTTGTTGGAATTATTTTCAAAATTTATCTATAAATTTTTTATAATGTAGAATATTCATGTGCTTGAAACAATAATGAGTTGTCTTCCCTTAACTGATAGCCTCCTTTTGGTTCAAAGAACATTAGCAGGTCTGTATCTTTAATTCATTTAAAATCATGCTTCACCTGAATATTTCAAGTAAACTAATTGATTGATTATTGGCTTTTTGTCTGATTTAACTTTTTTCATTTTTTTGTACATCACATTAGCATATAACATGTATAAGGGCCATATCATGGCAATATATGATTAACATACTATAAATTCAGAAATTATCTCAATAATAAAAACTCGCATTTTTGTTCATTCTTCAAAATCGCAATAATAAATGTACACAACAATTTCTGAATTTTCAGTTTGTCAAATTGAAAAATATTTTGTAATTTATTTGAATTATTGTTAAACTTAGTAATTTATTTTTTACCTGACCGTGAACTTACTTACTTCCTTACTTTATTAACAGTGATGGTGATATCAAACTTATTATTCTTAATTTAATTGATTGTGAAAGTGAACTTTCCTTTCTTATTTTATTGAATGTGACCCTTTACCCCTTAGGGTTATTCCATTTTAAAGAATGTGGGTAGGTAGGAAGATTCCATTACAATGAATGTCAGAGGGTAGGAATATTCTATTAAAATGAATGAGGGAGGGTAAAAGTAAGGATATATTTTTATAAGACATGGGTTGTGGCCCATTTATGAATGTATGCCAATTTAATGTGTGCATGCCCATTTGATGTATGCAAATTATTTGAAGAAAGTATTTTTCTTGTAGGGCAATTTTGCAAGTCCCTTCTTACCCACTCACATCCATTTCAATGGAACAGCCTTAACACTTTTAAATGAAATCAAGAAGGTCTTATTTAATTTAAATATAGGTTGTTATTGTAAATACTAATACTAATGAATGTATAATATAAGTGCCATATAGATGTCTTTTCTCCTTATAGAAGGGGACTCAGTGGCTGAGTGGTCTAAGTAGTTACTACTGTAATCACTAGCCAGTCAACACTGAGGTTGTGAGTTCGAACCCCGCTCGTGCGGGTGCACTTGACTCCAATCTTAATTGACTAGGATTGTCAGTTTTCCTATCGAAGGTCGGTGGTTTTCTCCAGGCAATCCGGCTTTCTCCACCGATAAAAACTGGCCGCCATGAAATAGCCCAAAAGCTGTGCTTAAAAGTGGCGTTAAAACACCAAAAATCAAATCAAATCTCCTTATAGAACAAAAGCAACAACAGATTGTTACAGTACATTTTATTAAATAAATGGTATGGTAGTTTATTGCATAAGATACAGTGTATTGCCATCTTTTCAGTCTACAATAGCAGATTTATGCAATTTTTATACGACCGCAAAAATTGAAAATTTTTTGGTCGTATATTGGTATGACGTTGGCGTCGTCGTCGTCGTCGTCGTCGTCGTCGTCGTCGTCGTCTGGCGTCGTCCGGCGTCGTCCGAAGACACATTGGTTTTCGCACTCTAACTTTAGTTTAAGTGAATGGATCTCCATGAAATTTTACCATAAGGTTCAATACCACGAAAGGAAGGTTGGGATTGATTTTGGGGGTTATGGTACCAACAGTTAAGGAATTAGGGGCCAAAAAGGGGCCAAAATAAGCATTTTTGTAACTTCCAGACAATAACTTGTGTGTAAGTGTATGGATTTCTTTGACATTGTACCACAAGGTTCCATATCACAAAGGGAAGGCTGTAATTGATTTTGGGGGTAATTGCCTCAAAATTTTAGGAATTAGGGGCCAAAAAAGGGGCAAAAAACAAGCATTTTTCTAGTTTCATGACAATAACTTGTGTGTAAGTGTTTGGATATTTCTGAAATTGTACTACAAGGTTCCATATCACAAAGGGAAAGCTGGAATTGAGTTTGTGGGTAATTGCCCGAAACGTTTAGGAATAGGGGGCCAAAAAGGGGCCAAAAATAAGCATTTTTCTAGTTTCCAGACAATAACTTGTGTTCAAGTGTATGGATCTCTCTGAAATTGTACTGCAAGGTACCATACCACAAAGGGAAGGCTGGGATTGAGTTTGGGGGTGATGAATCATAAGGGGGTTCAAAAAATTTGGGGGGGGGGGGGGGGGGGTTCTTTTTTTTTCTTTTTTTCCTTTTTTTTTTCTTTTAAAATTTTCCATTTTAAGTTGGTTATTTCTGATTAATATTTAAAAGCAAATAATAATGATATGGTAGGAGATACACACCAAACAGGATGTGTAAATTATTATATAATAAGTATTGTGCAATAGCAAGAAATTTTCAATTGCACAGTATTGCACAATTGCAAGAAATCTTCAATTGCACAGTATTGCGCAATAGCAAGAAATCTTCAATTGCACAGTATTGCGCAATAGCAAGAAATATCCAATAGCACAATATTGCACAATAGCAAGAAATTGTCAATTGTACAGTATTGCACAATAGCAAGAAATATTCAATTGCACAGTATTGTGCAAAAGAAGATACTTCGTATAAATTGCTTATTTCTTGATCAATTTCAATGGGGTTTTATTCTTGAATTCTTGGGGTTCTTTAATATGCTGAATCTAACCAAGTATTAAGTATTTGGATTTTGGTCCCCGTTTTTAAATTGGTCCACATTGAGGTCCAAAGGGTCCAAAATTAAACTTTGTTTGATTTTATCAAAAATTGAATTATTGGGGTTCTTTGATATGCCGAATCTAACCGTGTATTTAGATTCTTAATTTTTGGTTCCGTTTTCAAATTGGTCTACATTAAGGTCAAAAGGGTCCAAAATTAAACTTAGTTTGATTTTAACAAAAATTGAATTTTAGGGTTCTTTGATATGCTGAATCTAAACATGTATTTAGATTTTTGATTATGGGCCCAGTTTTCAAGTTGGTCCAAATCAGGGTCCAAAATTAAACTTTGTTTGATTTCAACAAAAATTGAATATATGGGGTTCTTTGATATGCTGAATCTAACCATGTATTTAGATTTTTGATTTTTGGGCCCCATTATCAACTTTGTCCACATTGAGGTCAAAAGGGTCCAAAATTAAACTTTGTTTGATTTCATCAAAAATTGAATTCTTGGGGTTCTTTGATATGCTGAATCTAACCATGTATTTAGATTTTTTATTTGTGGACCCGCTATCAAATTGGTTCATATTGAGGTCAAAAGGGTCCAAAATTAAACTTTTTTTGATTTCATCAAAAATTGAATTATTGGGGTTCTT